ACGAAATCGCATAAAACCAGCGAATTGTGGCACCGATTGAATCGATGCGATTGCGAACAACTGCCCACAGATCGGTCCGTAAAGGCGATCACTTGACCACAGATGGGACAGACGTCGTCGATGGCCGAGAAGTCGAAACAGTCGTCGGCAAACAGCTTCTCCGAGAAGCGGCCGAAAAGCCATTGATTCATGTTTTTCAGCGAAAGTAATTGCGTTTCTGTGAGTGTCTCCAAATCACACACAACTCCGGTATACAAGTCATGGATGTATTGCTTGAGAATCATGTCTTCGCACAACAGGGCGTTGGCCTCCAGTCGGTGCCGAAGGGGCGACGCCTTTGCCTTACAGTGAGTGATATAGACTCGGGTTATGAAGCGAATGACCCTTAGTTTTAATAAATCGTTGCACTCTTTGATCAGCTTTTGATTGTCTATTAATGTGAACAAAAATGTCTCACAATTAGAGTATTGAGCGCTGGAGAGGAAACTCCGGACACAATCAAAGAGATCGAAACACTCGTCAAATCTGCTGTGCACTCTTTGATCAGCTTTTGATTGTCTATTAATGTGAACAAAAATGTCTCACAATTAGAGTATTGAGCGCTGGAGAGGAAACTCCGGACACAATCAAAGAGATCGAAACACTCGTCAAATCTGCTGCTTTTAGTGATTGACTTTTCCGATAAAAACTTCTCGTAAAAAATATTGGTTAGCGTTTCAAACGATATGTTGAGGAATACGACCACTTGAACCGGTTCTTTGATCACCAAATGGTCGTGATATGGACTCAATGTGTGGACGAGTGCTGAGAGCACACCGTTCGGCGAACTGTCCACTCCGTAGCCGCACATCGCCGTAGAGCTCACGCTATCGAGCGTTACCTCCGTCTGAATGATAGGCGAGTCGTCTTCGCACACATCGATCTCAACGAGCCGTCCGTCCAGTGATGTCACCAAATACTTGGAGCCGACGATCGGACAGATGGCTGTTGAGGGCATTCGGTGTAACCCAACCTCCGTTTTGCAGTACTTTAAACTCATGGACACGTCTTCGCCGTTAATGTCGGCACTCATGCGACAAATGATCACAAAATCTGATTTCGTAAACACTATTTCAAAGTAATTCTTGCCTTTCGTTTTGATCGCAAACTCATTGACACAAATGTTATCGCTTTCTGACCAAATGCTCAGTGGGTTTGGCTCCGAGTCGGACGATATGCCCGTATATATGACATACACCTGACCTCTCGATGAAGAGATCAACAGGAAGTCGTCAAAACTCTTGAGACAATTAATCTGTCCGTAAGTTGTGCTCCATTTATACAGAAATTGAGCGCTGATTTGACGGTCAGGCGAGACAGTGATGTCCCAAAAGGTGATCAAACCGTTCTTTGAGGCCATAAATAGCATACAATTAGCGCACACTTTGTCGGAAGCGGTCGGAGCTTCGACCCAACTCTGGGCCCAACAAAAGGCATTAGTGGCCAAACTGTGCATTCGTTCCCGGAATAGGTTATAGTTGGGCCGCGATATGTCTGTCCACTTCTCCTTCAGCTTATTATTCAACAAAAGCGACAAATCGATGGCCACTTCCCACTCCTCCACGTCTTTGCGATACACAACCAGCCGGTGATCGATAGTGAGCGCACCCAAGAGGCAGCCCAACTGTCTCCTCAACGGCGACCACTCGACGCGACGGTAACTGCGAAAAGTGGTCGCATTGGCCGCCTGTGCCGTCAGCGACGGGTCCATCATTAGGATCTGTTGCTCGTCCGAAGACGCGCCGGCCATCACTCGTCTCGCGTCGAGACCGGTGTCGAAAGCGGGCGACTGTTTCTGATTGTTGAGCACTGACTTGTGGTACGGGAAGTGTTGTGTCCACTCGTGTGGATCGCATCGCGAGTCCAACAGATAGACGTATTTGTCGACAATTACGGCCACAGAGTTGTCTTCGGACCACTTGACTGACGAGGTGTTGACCGCGTGTCCAGAAGTGGTCACACTTGCCATCACACACTTGCACGACATCGCAGCTGATCTCAAGACACACTGTCTGTGTGTGTGTTGTCCTGGGATTGTCTTCGTGGCCACAAAGACTGGTCACGCGATTCACGGATCAGTTGTTTAGTGTTTGAGTTGTCTTTGAATTTCAAATAGCGATCAAAAGTCACAACAAAAACAAGTGCTAAAAGTTTTTGCCATAAATTACGGCCGAAAACAGTATTTCAGTCATTGATTGAGTGATTGTTTTGTGTCAACAAATGGTCTCTCAATTTGAGTGATAATTACCGCCGAAGACCAGCGCTCAAGACCTGATCCCAATCAAAGTGATGCCAATAAACGCTAATCTCAACGACACGCCGACCGAAGAGCCCGACTCGGGTCAAGTGTCGGCCGCGGAAGTGCCCATCAATCACATGATGGACGGAACCGATGACAGCGACTTCGATGACGACACCAGCGAAGACTCCAACGATCGGTACTACGAGCTGTTGGCCACTCAAGAGCCGCCCACAGCCACCGGCGGCGGTTCCGCCACCAGTTATTATCAACACAATTATGTCGTCCAATGGGTTGATTGGGATCAATACGAGGACAGCGTTGAACAACAGACCACAGATGACACCAATCAGACCACATCTCAATCATCCAGTGATACCACATCTCAACCATCAACTCATCCATCCATTAGCCACTCAACGGCCGAGTCTTCCAGCGATGGACACATAGATCTAAGCGATGGTATGATTTGTTAGCATTTGAAGTGATTGTATAACTAATTGATTGTTTGCTATGAATTGACGCATAGATCGGATCAATGAAATTAAGACTATTATGACTGGCATTGAGTTACCGAAAGATAACATTCCTCTTTGGGCTAAAGATCTGCCCGAAGATCAGTGGAAGTCATTCATCGCCAGTAAATCGCATGACAAACACAATTAGATGTTAAGCCAATTGTTGATCATTTAAATTGAAAAATACAGTAATTATGTAAATGACATCTATTTACAAGACATCGAGATTTAGACCATGATTTAGACCATGATTTAAAGCATTATTTAATTGGTTTATTGCCATTAAATCTTATAGATTATGAAAATTATATTTTGTTTTGTTTTATTATGAATAATACGTTAATTTATTTATTGATAATTTATTTGTTGAATATTTAATGAATGAATGAAAATATTTTTAAATTTCTAATATTTGTAATTATAATTTCTGTTTTATTTATTATTATTGTAATTAATAATTTATTAATTACAATCATATAAACCAAAACCCAATCACAAGTTATCTTTACGTTTGGGATTGTATTAAAACATTTCATATCTTGTCTATAAAGTCATAAAATTTATATAAAATAAGATATTTATTATAATAATAGTTCTCACAATTGATTGTAAAAATTGTTTTAAACAGTTATTTTTGTGGTCGATATATTCATTGTTTAAATGGATTAAACCAACAAACCATTGAATAATTGAATAACTCTTATAATAGAAATTTATAAAAGATTAATGACTTATAAGAGATTAGAAATTAGTATTCAATAAATATGTTTAAAGTTTATATGTTGGTCACCCTGTGTTATTTGCCCGTAAACACCTCTAGTGCCCATTCCTAATTTAGACCATGATTTAGACCATGATTTAAAGCATTATTTTATAGGTTTATTGCCTTTCATTACAAAATCTTAGATTATGAAAATTATATTTTGTTTTGTTTTATTATGAATAATACGTTAATTTATTTATTGATAATTTATTTGTTGAATATTTAATGAATGAATGAAAATATTTGTAAATTTCGAATACTTGTAATCATTATTTCTGTTTTATTAATTATTAATTACAATCATATAAACCAAAACCCAATCACAAGTTATCAATGCAAACCCTAACATAATTTTGTAAAGTATAGAACAGATATTTCAGTATTTTAAATATATTTTATTCTATAAATAATATTATTATCAAGAGTGTTAACTAACATTTTTAACAAAATTTGTCAATATAAAATATATTGTGTGTAAACTGTAAACCATTCGCCATTTTTCAGTGAATGTCTAAATTGTGGTACAAATTATCAGACAAATGGCCAGACTATCGAAAGCGCCGAGTTTTGTATGCCATAAATGGTCGCTATTTGTCGTGTGTTTTATACTGATTTGGATTGAAATAATGCTCGCATTGTTTGCCAATGAATTCGCTAAAATGGGTCTTCAAGAAAACGAGGTAATTGTCATAAAGTGAAATGATCTTAATGTGTTAGAACTATACAAATAATGTAATTTACCACAGAATAAGATATACCAAAAGCTGTTGATTGAGTCGATCATAACAATCATCGCCACATTGATGGCAGTGATCGGTGTCTATAAGGAGGAGTACAGCTGTACTGCACTTTTCTCCGTATATATGGTACTGGCGGTCATATCTGGCATATATTCCTCTCTATTGGCCCCATATTTCTGGTTTCTGACCCTATTCTATATGTTTGTAACAATGATGTCCTTCTCGTTCGCCCGTCACATACGGGAACGCATGTGCGAGCGGTCGACACCGCAGTCCGATTACACCACTCATTCCCGACACACATATAGCTTACAGTATAATTCATATTCACTTCCTAACAATGAGGGCAACGATAGTGGCCTTCAGTCCACACAGTTTGACGGCCGACAACTGCCCCCTTATTACCCACCCGTTCCCCCGCCCTATACTGAATTGCCTCCAAATCCGCCGCCTTATAGTCAAAGCGGCAGTAATTTTAATAATATAAATAATTCACAGAATTGTGTCATTCATATGTAAATTATAGCATAAAATTAATATCAATATTAAAATATTTTTATTTGAACTATTAAAATTGAAAAGTTATTTATAAATATAATTTCTAACTCGTTGATCACATAGTATCATTTAAAAAACATTATCACAGATTATTAATAAAAGAGAAATTATAAGATTAAACTAAAAATTAAAGCTATATTTAAAAGTAATAGAGTATAAAATTTATTTAAAATCGTGAGTTTTGCAAAAATGTGAGTCTTTTTGACGTTTTGCTTTGCATTCACTAAAATACGGTGTTTTCTCTGTTATTAAAACTCTCTCTAATTTACTGTTAAATAAATAATACATTGTTTTAATTGTTAAACCAAATAAATCATTAAACACAACACAGACCTCATTCCGTACTTCTTATAAATAACGGTCAAAACTAATCAGTTTTAGTTCAGATTCTGTGGTTTATACTACATACGCTACGGATCTTTACTTAACGCCGGTGGTTAGGTACTCCACAACGAATACTAATTTGAAAATCACGGTAGTTTGGATTAGTGGCCTATTACTAACAAACAATTTACATAAAACTTTCATTATTCTTTATGGCAATCGCTTACTGTAAGAGATTTCAAGAAAATAGTGTCCGTTTGGCAAAGATTTTTCAAAAACACTTCCGATTAAGTGATTAACTCTGGCGTAAAGTTTGCGAAACTCGGGAAACGCCGCTGTCCTGAACCATACGATTAGCGCCTCATTCCTCAGACCATTATTGTTGGGATTGTGCGGATCTAATTGCCAGATGTGTCGGTGCCTCCAATTGGGCGGATTTGTGAAGTTTGCGTACACTATCTCTAGTGGTGGCCCTGTTTTAGAGTTAATTACAATCAAATTCAGCAAAAATAAATTACTTCATTATCATATCAATGGGTAGTTTAAAAACAAATACCAATCGGATTGCTAAACTGATTTTGATCGGATGGCCAACTAATTCCGGTGAACAATAGGGGCACTTCTTCAGCCAATCCAGTGATGAGATCGTGTCTCCATATTCTGAACGAGTCGTTGAAGAAACTGTTGCCAATCATACCGCAGGGCACGATCGGCACCTGACGGCCCAACACCTCTTTGTACTGATAGGGCGCGCAAACGCTGGACGCCGTGAGCTGACCGTCCAGTTGGGAGCTGTCCATCGAGTTCTCGTACATCCGATGGTTTTGGTAGTAATTATTGAGCGCATAGTATATGTAGACCGAGGAGTAAAAGTCTTCGTTCAGCTCAAACTTATACCAACACTTACAGCCCTCGACCTCTGGCGTGTCCTCCAATGTCTGGGCGCACGAACTCATGCCATATAATGGCCAACAGTTGGTGTAATCCAATTCAAACTGCTGTACTCGTGAGGAGAGAAATAATAGGCCGACACCTATTGTGATGAAGACAATGCCCAACAAGAAAAAGGACGGCAATACTGTTCCGCAGGTGAGGATCGGCTTCCATGCGGGCAGTCGTTGCTGTTTGAAGGCATTCACTAGATATACAATTACAAGAAATATTTTATTTTAGACAATAAATTTGATAATATTTTATAAATTATGTAACAATTAAGGAATTGATAAAATAACCATCAAAACAACTCATTGTCTTATCAAGTAAGTGATGAATTGACTACATGTTAATGAAATACTTGATTATTGATAATAAACTAGATCAGTTTTGACGACAAGTTTAATAAACTGTTTGTGAGTTATAGATAATGAGTGAATGAATTGTGTTTTTGATGACATAATAACTTTTTATTACAGGTTATGAACACCTCAGTTTGCGAAGCAATTTGAACAGAAAGCTACTGAAAGACAAATATTAGGCATGAAAAAAGAAGTAGAAATCTGTGAAAAAATTCAATGCAAAATGTGATTCAAATAGAAAATTATGGTAACTTTACTTCTAATAAAACGATATCGTTGTTTCACTGTTTTGTGAACTTAAATGTCAAAAATAAAACAATATTTTTTGAGTTGTTATCGCTATTTATTAAGAATGGGAATAAATGTGTATATTATTCAGCAAAATGAATGCAAATTAATTATACAATTTATTTATTAGGTATGAAAATAATTAGTGATTTTTTGCATGTTTTGTCACGTCTTTTCAATGAAATGTTTTGTGATTTTGTACACACAATACAAGTGTACAAAAGTTTAATAGATTTGATTGAATAGTTTGGGAACATTTTATTGTTAACATTTAATGAGAATGTTTTGTCAAATGATTATAACGTATGAATTTTATAAATAAAATTATAAAATAATAATTAATAAATTTTGTATAACAATATCAGAGATTTTATAGCATACAGTATGTCAGGTCATAATTGGTCTGAATTATGAAATAGTGTTTTACTTAAATTGAAAATAAAATAAGATTTAATGAATATTTGCACTTAAAATATAGTCCAATAAACTATATTGAAGACAATGAAAGAAAGAGGAAATGTCATAATTGGTCTGAATTATGAAATAGTGTTTTACTTAAATTGAAAATAAAATAAGATTTAATGAATATTTGCACTTAAAATATAGTCCAATAAACTATATTGAAGACAATGAAAGAAAGAGGAAATAAAATACGGCTTTTCCTATCAATATTATCGGCCAATTCGTACGGACACCTGATTTTCAGATATCTTCCCATAAATGATTGCGATAAATCTGTTTTGGACAATGACTTCTTCAAGTTATGGGCAGTGGTGCTGACAGTGGCGCTACTCAGACGCCGCAGATTGTCCACTAAATCCGGAGCCATTAGTTTGCTTTTTGAACACATATCCTATAAACACACAATTAATGACCGCTTAAATGGTAGCGTTTAAACATGTATTACCGAAATATCCAGATATTTAGAAACAGTAATGAGTGGGTCTGTGGAGGAGGCGAGTGAGGCCAGGGATAGGGCTGACAGGTCTCGTTGTAGTGTCTTTACCCGCTGTTGACGGGTCTTCTCCGACCGATAGAGATAACTAACTAAAGCAAACTCAATGAGTGACGCAAATACCATGAATGTGCAAAACGCTATCCACATGTCTAGTGAATGAATGTATGAAACTTTTGGCAACTTATCGCGTGTTGTCATTGAGTTTGTGACCAGAGTTAACATTGTTGTCGCCCCTTCACAGCACATGTAATGCTTGTGTTAATAGATTGTATAATGCAAATAATTTCTAGTTTATGGTCAAACCCAATGTTATCCTCGCGGGTGCGGCCGATATCTCCAACCAAAACGACAGCCAAGACATGGCCACAAACAGAGCCGACGGCAGGTAGACGTCGAGCCAGAAGTGATACCACTCGCGGGTAAACGAAACGGTGACAATCACTCGATTGACTGAGTCGTCCTCAAACAAGTCGATCACCTGAACCGTATCGTTGGACAGTTCATAGCCAGACAACCGGAAACCGATTATATTAAAGCGCTCGGCGTTGCGGAAGGGTTTGTCTTCACGCCATTTAAGGATCACATTATCGTCCGAAAGGCTGCGACTCTCGAGTTTGACCGAACACTTCTGCTCATCAAACGGATAGTTCTTGAAGTTTAACTGACAAAACAGTTTCAATTGGATTCTGTGGTTAAACAATATGTATTTTAACGCCATTTTTCAATGTATTAAAAGTATTTCAAAAGAGTAGTAATGAGTGATTAGAAACCGGGATCTGATAAAGATGTAGCCATCGGTGCGGACTTTGAATGCGACCACAGTCTGGCCGCTCAACTCGACCGAACCGGGCTCTTTCACGTCGGGTACGCCCAGTTTGGGGGTCCAAATGCGACTGTAAAGACTCGGTTCCATACTTAACACCACCAAATCGTCCGGACAGTCAAACACCAGGCCGTCGTCAAACCACTCCAAGTCCATAACCAGTATAACACTGTATTCGGAGTTGATTTCGTCGATTGATGCCATTGGCATCAATCGACGAAATCAACTCCGAATACAGTGTTATACTGGTTATGGACTTGGAGTGGTTTGACGACGGCCTGGTGTTTGACTGTCCGGACGATTTGGTGGTGTTAAGTATGGAACCGAGTCTCTACAGCCGCATTTGGACCCCCAAACTGGGCGTACCCGACGTGAAAGAGCCCGGTTCGGTCGAGTTGAGCGGCCAGACTGTGGTCGCGTTCAAAGTCCGCACCGATGGCTACATCTTTATCAGATCCCGGTTTCTAATCACTCATTACTATTCTTTCAAAATACCTTTAGATTAAACAATTTAATTCATTGAAAAATAATGTTAAAAAACTTATTGTTTGACCACAGAATCCAATTGAAACTGTTTTGTCAGTTAAACTTCAAGAACTATCCGTTTGATGAGCAGAAGTGTTCGGTCAAACTCGAGAGTCGCAGCCTTTCGGACGATAATGTGATTCTTAAATGGCGCGAAGACAAGCCGTTCCGCAACGCCGAGCGCTTTAATATAATCGGTTTCCGGTTGTCTGGCTATGAACTGACCAACGATACGGTTCAGGTGATTGACTTGTTTGAGGACGAGACCGTCAATCGAGTCATTGTCACCGTTTCGTTAACCCGCGAGTGGTATCACTTCTGGCTCGACGTCTACCTGCCGTCGGCTCTGTTTGTGGCCATGTCTTGGCTGTCGTTTTGGTTGGAGATATCGGCCGCACCCGCGAGGATCACATTGGGTTTGACCATAAACTAGATATTATTTGCCTTGTATTCTATAACCTATTAACACGAGTATTACATGTGCTGTGAAGGGGCGACAACAATGTTAACTCTGGTCACAAACTCAATGACAACACGCGATAAATTGCCAAAAGTTTCATACATTCATTCGCTGGACATGTGGATAGCGTTTTGCACATTCATGGTATTCGCGTCGCTCATTGAGTTTGCTTTAGTTAGTTATCTCTATCGGTCGGAGAAAACCCGTCAACAGCGCGTAAAGACACTACAGCGAGACCTGTCAGCCCTCTCCCTGGCCTCACTCGCCTCCTCCACAGACCCACTCATTACTGTTTCTAAATATCTGGATATTTCGGTAATACATGTTTAAACGTTACCATTTAAGCGGTCATTAATAGTGTGTTTATAGGATATGTGTTCAAAGAACAAACTAATGGCTCCGGATTTAGTGGCCAATCTGCGGCGTCTGAGTACCGCCACTGTCAGCACCACTGCCCATAACTTGAAGAAGTCATTGTCCAAAACAGATTTATCGCAATCATTTATGGGAAGATATCTGAAAATCAGGTGTCCGTACGAATTGGCCGATAATATTGATAGG